GTTCTCATGTTGCATCTTGTTTTGCAACATGAGAACTCATATATATATATATATATATATATATATATATATATATATATATTCTGATGGAATAATTTGAGAATCTGAAGGAATAGTAAATATGTACAAAAGTTTGTAAAACTTCTATTTTGCTATGTTTCTTTGATGATAGTTATAACATTTTAGATGAAAGTTATTTTCTATCAAAATACAGTTATGTTTTGTCTCGCTAATGTATATTGAAATAATGTTATTTTTTCTGATGGCGGCTGTTCATTGGTGAAATATGTCAAAATAGAATTTTTCTAAATTTCCCTCTCTATCTTTCTCTGTGTATCACCCTGTATCTCTCTCTGTATATCTTTCTGTGTATTTCCCCCCCCTCTCTCTCTCTTAATCCTGGGTATATATGTATCTTCCTCTCTGTCTGCAAACACCCTCTCTCTTAAAATCCTGAGTACAGCAATCCGAGAACGAGGCCTGCCTGATCGGGAGATTGGAGGTTTTGAGGAGTGTTGAACCACATCTTAATTGTTGAACCCGGGGTGGTAGCACCTGTTATGGCCAAGTAGAAAACCTCCCCCAAAAAAGACAAAACACTAGGAAAGTATAAAAATACATTGTCATAGTAAAACTATAGAAAAACATTTTTTATATAAAAATAAATTACTAGCACTACATTTTAATAGAAATAGGTAGATTAATGCATTTTATAGTATAATTGAAGAAATAGCATCCATTGACCCCTTCCCCCCCCACAAAAAATTAATTGCTGCGATTAAATTTTTACTCCTCCTTTGATTTTGTAAGATTATTTTGGAAAAATGCTGCTAAGTAATTATAATTTAATCGTGAAATAATGTTATTTTCCTGAATTAATTATGTTTGACTTTCATATTTAGATTTAAATAACACATATGGATTGATATGCTGCAAAACCAAAGTAACCAAAACCTCTCTCTCTTTATCTCTGTTTATCTGTTTATCGCTCTCCTTCTCTCTCTCTCTCTCTCTCTATATATATATATATATATATATACAGAGAGAGAGAGAGAGAGAGAGAGAGAGAGAGAGAAAAGAGACCGTGCATTTCTGCGTATGAAGCCATATTTATTTAAGGCGAGGTAAAAAATCTAGCAAATTTTCATGAATTTATCATATACTAGTAGTGTAAGACGACTGCATATTGATTATATAAAGATAATATTATTGGAAATGTTGTTACTGTATCCTTAGAAATTCAAAATAAAGGAAATAACAAAACCGATTCTATATCATGTTTTTCCTACACACGTCCTCTAAAAGGAAAACCATTGTTTTCTTTACGTTTCATCACGTGATCTCTTGCGAATACTTCTTCTTCCTCTATTTTTTCCTATATCTAAACAGTAACTGGTGTACTAATGACCAATTACTTATACTTCATCGACAATCACAAAATACCGCTAACAACTATGATAATGTACGATTATAGTATATTCCATTTTCAACATTTTTTTATTCGCAATCATAATTCAGTCTTTAAATTTTCTCAACTGTGCTTGCATGAATACAAGTTGATTTCATTGAGATGCAATTATTGTTCAAATAGGCAATTTATTATGAAGTTATGCCAGTAATATATAAGGTAGAAATGATTTTATTATCAGTTTGTTTGATAGTATGAATCTTTTCATGTTTGTTATTGGTTATCGCGCCGAGAACCGATATTAGCCTACCGACAAATATCACTCAGAATTTAAGGTTTCTTTTTTTTTAGAATTGTATCAGGTCATCCCATAAGTTCTGTCCGAATTTTAACTTTATTTTAACGAAATTTAAAGAGTAATTTATAATGTCTAATGTAGCTGAACATTATTTTTATGTTTAGATGCATTTAAACTGATCAAATTTTATTTCAGAGAACAATAAAATTAAATTTTGTTTGATTAAAACGCTGCTAGCATGGAAGTACCCAAGAATCATTTGAGGCACATAATGCTTTATGAGTTCAAGAAAGGAAACTCAGCAGCCGAAGGGGCTAGAAACATTCACTCAGTTTATGGAGAGGAATCTGTGAATGAAAGAACTTGCAGAAGATGATTTGCAAAATTCAGAGGATGAGATTTCACCCTTGAAGATGAAGATCGAACCGGACGTCCAGTTGAGTTTGATGAAAAGCTTCTTGAAGCAGCCCTTGAAGAAAATCCTGCTTTATCAGTTGAGAAATTGGCAGTGGTTCTCAGTTCAAACTATACAACTGTTCTTCATCATCTTCAACAACTTGGAAAAGTTCCTAAACTTGGAAAATGTGTGCATCATGAATTGTCTGAAAACAACCTCAAATCCCGAGTTGTCATCTATTCTCTCTATTCTCGCCAACTTGTTTCACCTTTTTTGGATAGACTTGTGACTGGCGACGAAAAATGGATCTTTTATCGAAATGTTAAGCGTCATAGACAGTGGCTTGGTAAAGAGGAAGGACCCCAGCCACAGCCGAGAAGGGAACTTCATGGGCAAAGGTTTCTTTCAATCTGGCGGGATCGCCAAGGTATAATCCACTTTGAATTCTTACAATCTAATGCAACAATTAATGCTCAAATATACCGTCAGCAATTAGAGCGTTTGAACCAAGCTTCGAGGAAAAAAAAACCTGCTCTAGTGAATCGAAAAGAGGTGACGTTACATCAGGAAAATTCACGACCCTACACAACAAGAATCACGTCACAAAAGATCGAAGAACTTGGTTGGGAGAAAATTCCTCATCCACCTTATTCCCCCGATCTTGCTCCTTCAGACTACCATTTGTTTCGTAGCTTACAGGATCATTTGGAAGAAACAGCTTTTGTAACACAGGAAGCTGTTAAAACTGACATTTGTGAGTTCTTCGAATCAAAGCCAAAATAATTTTACAGTAATGGAATTAGTAAGCTTGTTAATAGATGGAAGGAAGTCATAGATAATCAGTGAAAATACATTGTTGATTGAATCTGTAATTAAATGTAACATTTGGTCACTTGTTTTCTTTATTCCAAATTCGGACAGAACTTATGGGATGACCTGATAGTATAAGGACCTGCATTTTTAAGCGTGATTTGGGGGATTAAATGTCATCTTAAAGGCTGAAATATACGCTACATATTACTGAAATGCCTCTCAACAACTTGTAAAAAGCTGATGGATGACTTGTAAGAAATTTATTTCTATAAAACGGAACCTCAGATTTTTGGCTTATTTATCTTCTGCTTTGAAATCAGACTCAAACGAAACATTAGCGTGTTGGTGAAAGAAGTTTGAGTTATTTATCAGCTCTATCCCTTGACTTTCCTTAAAATCCAGAACTTCACCGACTACGGAAAAGTAAAAGTTTCTCCATATCCACCTGAAGTAAATAAAAGCCCAGTTGCTGGAAGTTTGTTTTTAATTATTTTATTTTATTTTTTTTATTAATAACCTGCCAAGTATTCGCGTTTATTTTTTTTATTTTTTTATATGAAGAAATAATCTTTTTGGAGGCACCATATTGAAATCTTTCTTTTTAAGACGTTCCGATGTCTTTTGGTAAGTAGAAAAAGATAGTGAAAAATATCATTTCTTTGAAAGATCTTTTATTAATAAAAACCACCCCAGGATATATATGATATGTAAAGGTGTCATTTTCTTGAAATAATGCTGAATTTGGATCCCACATTGGCGAAAAGAATTTCAAAAGGTTTCATAAGTCACGTTATCTACGCCATATTCATAATAGTGACGCGAAAAACATGTTATGAAACATGGAAAATAATTTTTGATAATTACATGAAGGCATCACTACATTCCTACACATACATTTACAACGGCTGCTTCTATTCATTAAGCAATATTCACTTAGGACCAATGCATATTTTTTAAGCTTACATAATAATTTCAAATGAATGTCACTGAACTTGTGTGAAAAGCTAGTTGATAATAATCATGATTGCATGCAACCAGATATTAACCCTTGTCATTTAAAATATAATATAATATATATATATGTGTGTGTGCGTGTGTGCATGTAGGAATGGCCCAAGAAAATCTAATGAATGATAACAGATTTTTCAATGCTTTTTTTTCATCTATTTGTTTATTTTTTTGTAGTAAGCTTTATACAATATTTCCGTATTGTATTGACGGAACTGAATATGTAATATTGTTTTGAATAAGCTAGAGGCTGAATTTTTGAGTGTAAATAAAACAAGGATACTAGATGATGATAAAACTATAACAAATCAAATAAAATTAATGTGCGTGACAAGATGGTAACCGATCCAACTGTACCAGTATCTATTCATTTCACCTTACCAGAAAAACACAATCCAGTGCTTTAAAAATGAAAGAACAACTACAAGCAAAATTGTCACTGCAGATCACGCTAATTTTTACCTGGGTAAATTACTTTATTATAATTTAGTAGAATCTTTTTTTTTTTCTTCTCGAGCGAAAATAGAGAGAATTTAAACAATTATAATGAAAAAAATGTATTTTTGTTTGTCTATTGTTACGTCTCACGATATATTTTGTGAGTTTTGGAGCTGGCTCTGATAGTAGTTATGTGAGTCTTTTCTACGTTTTCAGCAAGGAAGACAACAAAACGAAGACAACAAACAACAACAGAAACAAAGTTTGTCAAAAGCAAAGCTAGAAAAAAAAAATAAATGCAGAGAATGAAAAAGGAAGTCTGTGAAAACGCAACAAGAACAGAGAACAACACAAGTGTACACACGCAAAAAGAATCTTAGCAGTAAGACAAAAAAAAAAAAAAAATGAGGAAATAAAATAAAAGAAATTACTTTGCATTTTGTTGAAAAGAACATTAAAAAAAAGGTGCCAAAAAAATGAAACATGGGTTAGGATTCTCATTAACTTTTTTTTATATCATTTATCCGGTTTTTCTGTGACGAAGGGCCTTTTCTTCCTTTCTACTGGTAATGAGTGAAATCTTCCTGGTGACTGCAGCAGACTTGCTGAATGCACCTTGTTGGTGATTAGTCACGCACAATAATGAGAGAGAGAGAAAGAGAGCGCGCGTGCGAGAGAGAGAGGGGGACAAAGAGAGAGGGACAAAGAGAGAGAGGGGGATAAAAAGAGAGAGAGACAACTAGAGAAGGAAAGAGAGAGAGGACTAGAGAAATAACAAGTATATGAGAGAATAAGAGAGGGGGCGACTAGAAAAATAGACAGAGAATGAAAGAAAGAGAGAAAGAGAAAGCGAGAGGAAAAGAAAGAGAACATTAGAAGGAAAGAGAGACTGAGAAAAAAAAGAAAGGGTAAAGGTAGAGAGAGATAACTTGAGAAGGAGAGAGATAACTAGAGAAGGATAGAGAGAGAACTAGAGAAATAGCAAGTATATGAGAGAATGAGAGAAGGGGCGATTAGAAAAATAGAGAATGAGAGAAAGAGAGAAAGAGAAAGTGAGAGGAAAAGAAGGAGAAAATTAGAGGGAAAGAGAAACTGAGAAAAAAAGAAGGGGTAAAAGTAGGGAGAGATAACTTGAGAAGGAGAGAGGGGAAGAGTGAAACAGAGGGGGGGGAGAGAGAATGAGACAAAACGAAGGGATAATGAGACCACTAGAGGCGATTAGAAAAATAGAAAGAAAATGAGAGTGAAAAGACAAACAATGTGACAGAAAGAGAGAGAGAGAAAAAGGGAGAGGGAGATAAAAAGAAGAGCTAACGAGAAAGAGACGACTGGAGGAGGAGGAGAACGGGAGAAATAGCGAATCTATGAGAGAATGAGAGAAAGCGTGGGCGACTAGAAATAATGAAAGAGTATGAGAAAGAGAAAGATAGGGAGAAAATGAGTGGGAGAGAAAGAGAAAGGGAGAAGGAGAGAAAGAGAGAGTGTAAACAAAAGAAGGGATAGTGGGAGAGGGACAACTAGAGAAGGAGGAAGAGGACTAGAGCAATACCAAATATATGAGAAGGATAGAAAGAGACAGGGGGCGACTAGATTGGTTGGTTGGGTTTTATGGCATATCAACCACTGTAGGTCATTTAATGCCAAATTAAATTATACACACACACACACACACACACACACACACACACACACACACACACACACACACATACACACACATATATATATATATATATATATATACACATACACAAACCTATATATATATATTAAATATACACTACTATTAAACGTATAGCTGGCAACATTATTGTTTCTAAATGTATAGATGACAACATTATTGTTTCTAAAACTTATAGCTGGCAACATTATTTTTCCGAAAACTTTATCTGCGGCCTTGCTGTTGGACGTAGTTTATCATCATATCCAGGACGCGGATGTAGTTGATCACCATACCCAGGACACGGATGTAGTTTATCGGGGGCGACTAGAAACATAGAAATAGAACGAGAGAAAAAGAGAAAGAGAAAGACAGAGGGAAAGAATAATAAAGAGAGAGAGAGAGAGAGAGAGAGAGAGAGAGAAATAAAAAGAAGGGCTAAAGAGAGAGAAGGAGATGACTAGCGAAGGGGAGAGAGGAGTAGAGAAATATCAAGTATATGAGAAAGAGACAGACGGGACGACTAGAAAATAGAAAGAGCATGAGAGAAAGAGAGAAAGAGAGAGAGGGAGAGAGGGAGAGAATGAGAGAAGAAGAGAAAGAAAAGATAGAAAGAAAGAGACGACTAGAGAAAGAGAGATAGGACTATAGAATAGAAAGTATATGAAACTGAAAGAGAGAGGGTGACTAGAAAATAGAAAAAGAATACGAGAAAGAGAGAGAAATAAAGAGAGAAGAAGAAAAAGAAGGAATAAAGAGAGGGGGAACGGCTAGAGAAGGAGAGAGAGAGGACTAGAAAATAGCAAATATATGAGAGGATACCAGAAAAAGAGATAGTGGGTAACTACAAGCATAGAAAGAGTTTGAGAGAAAGAGAATGTGAGAAAGAGAGAAAGCAAAAGATAGAGGGAAAGAAACAGAAAGAGAGACAAAGTGTGATTGAGAAAAAAAGAAGGGTTAAAGAGAGAAAGACAACTAGAGAGAGAGGGGGCTAGAGAAATAGAAATATATGAATGAGAGAGAGGGGAAGAGAGAGAGAGAGAGAGCAGATGACTAGGAAAATAGAAAGAGGATGAGAGCAAAAGAGAACGAGAGAAAAAAGGTTTAGAAACAAAGAAAAGGAGGTCAGAGAGGAATAGAGAAATATTAAGTATATGAGAGAGAGAGAGAGAGAGAGAGAGAGAGAGAGAGAGAGAGAGAGAGAGAGAGTAAGGGTATGACTATAAAAATAGAATACAGAAAAAGAGAATACAGAAAGTGAGATAGAGGGAGGGAAAGAGAGACGGAGATAAAAAAGAAGAGATAAAGAGACAGAACCGTCTAGAAAAGGCGTTAAAGACGTCTAGAGAAGGAGAAAGACTAGAGAAATAGCAAGTATATGAGAGAATGAGGCAGAGAGAGGGTTGACGAGGAAAATAGAAAGAGAATGAAAGAAAGAGAGAAAGAGAAATAGAGGGAGAGAAAAAGAAGGGATAAAGAGAGAGACGACTAGAGAAGGAGAGAGAGGGCTAGCTATATACAAGTATATGAAAGAATGAGATAAAGAAAAGCAGAGAGAGAAAGTAAGATTGATAAAATGAGACAAAGAAATAAAGAAAGAAAGAGAAAAAGAAAGAGAAAGAAAGAAACGGCTATAGAAAGATTGAATGAAAGGGAATTGCGGAAAGAGAGAGAAATAAAGAGAGTTAGATAAAACTAGATTGAAAGAGTATGAGAGAAAGAGAGAGAGGACTAGAGAGAGAGAGAGAGAGAATGACAGAAAAGAAAGATAAAACCGGTGAAAGTAAAAGAATGCGAAAAGGAGAGAGAGAAATAGAATCAGATAGGAAGAGGGGTAAGAGAGTACACGAGAATAAGAGAAAGAGAGATTGTGAGATAAAGAGACAGGAAGAAAAAGAGAGTGACGACGATAAAAAGATAGATAGATAGATAGATAGATAGATAGATAGATAGAGAGAGAGAGAGAGAGAGAGAGAAAGATAGAATCAGAGAAAGTAAAAGAGGGCTATGGAAAATATAAACCTCTATTAATTCTTATGCAAGGTAATGCATAAAGGCAGATGAAGAGCCACACAAATTCTCGCAGTGATATATATATATAGATGCATGTACAATTTCAGGAGCGCAAACTCATTTGCATAAACTTGTACACAAACATACATACAATTATATATATATATATATATATATATATATATATATATATATATATATAAATAGATTACAAACGGTACAAAAAAGCGTATTAAGGCATTAAAAACTAGAAATGTTGTATTGCAGGCCATGATAAGTTTAAAATAAAACACACACCAGTCGACCGGTTTCGTCCCTCTCGTCAGAACTGTTAACGGGGAATTTAGATTATGAGGAAAAAGAAAAAGTCTGTCATGGGTGACATGAATGAATGGACAGGGAAGGAAGGAAAGATAAAATTATACCAACCAAGCTGCTAGAAGCGCAGAACAGCAAGTCCAAGCAAACAATCTCTTTGTTTGCAAAGAGAAGGCCGCTTGGACCTGATGTAAAGCGATTCCAACACCTTGAGATGGAAAAGTGAGTGCGAACTGGCCAAGACGGAAAACCAGTTCACACTGAAATCCATCGCACAAGTTGGATTCTTTATAAAATGATCCGCAATCGAAGACCCATAAGTGTTACGAATGGTATCGCCCAAAGAAAATTTTTTGTTTAGTATTATCGCAGGTACGTGTTGTTTAATTCTCACGTCCAACCGCTGTGTCGTTCTACCTATGTAGTCGCATCCACAACTACATTTGAAATAGTAAATAACAGAGTTAATATGGTGGGGGGGTAGAACATCTTTACACATAGATGGAAGTACAGACCTAGTTTGAAAAACAACACGAACGTTATATATATATATATATATCTGTGTGTGTTTGTCAAGCAAACTTATTATGTGTGGTGGGGACCATGTATTCGTGTGTGTTCGGGTCGCTATTGTGTATAATTATACATCCATATCCATACAATCATACGCATATATATATATATATATATATATATATATATATATATATATATATATATATATATATATATATATATATATATATGTGTGTGTGTGTGTGTGTTTTCTAAAGAAATTAATGGATTTATATGTTATCGTAAAATTTTATGACTTCAAAATAACGTTTTTTTTTTTTTTACAGTGGGGTTCACTCTCTACAAGTCCTGTCAGCCACTCGAGGTAGAGGATTACAGAGTAAAGCACAGTTTACGTGAATATGTGGAGAAGATAACGGCTAAGCCTTGATTTGAAAAGGTTAAGATTATAGTGCTCTGGAAAACATCCTTTTGGGAGTCGGTTCCATAGAGCAGTAGATCGCAGGAAGAAGCTACTCCCACCAATGAGATAACACACACACACATATATATATATATATATATATATATATATATATATATATATATATATATATATATATATATATATATATATATATATATATATGTATGTATGTATGCATGTATGTATACGCATGGAACAGAAAGAAACCAATGAAATAACACACACACACACACATATATATATATGTATGTATGCAGACATACGCATGGAACAGAAAGAAACCAATGAGATAACACACACACACACACATATATATATATATCTATGTATGCAGGCATACGCATGGAACAGAAAGAAACCAATGAAATAACACACACACACACACACACACACACACACACACATATATATATATATATATATATATATATGCATGCATGCATGCATGCAGACATACGCATGGAACAGAAAGTAACATGTATATGCATACATATAAATGATTTTCTCTAAATAAGGTAGACGTAGGTTCTAACCCTGCGGAAGAACACATTCTCTTTATCTCAAGACTCTCAAAAACTGGGGCCGGTAGACGACAATTCTTCTTCTTCTTCTTCTTCTTCTTCTTCGTCAAGACGCTGACGATCATGGCTGTCCACAAGACCCTGTCGTTTGTAGCTCTTAATAGTTTTTATCGTATTCCCATCTCTCAAACCCTGACCAATTATTCATTTATTCAAGCACACCGAGTCATTTGCGTGTTGCATTAGTCTGGCTCTTGTACGTTCAAGCTGTGCTGTGAGTGTCAGATTTTCCTAGCCCTCTTTCCTCATTATGATCCCTAGAAATTTCAACCGTTTCTTCCTGATGTTAAACATAAGTGGCCTTTTTTGTTGCCATTGTCTCTAGAAATTCGTCGTTGCTGACTTGTTCGAGTTGTATTCTCAGCATCCTTCTGTAGTACCACATTTCTGTTGTTTCAGGGCTATTTTACATCTTTGATGATATTGCCCAGCATTCACTGCCATAGAGGAGGACTGAAGACACCGTTAAAAACAGAGACGTCTACTCATCACATGTATCTACTAAATATGACTTTTACAGCAATAAGACACAGATATCGATGTATAATTATACACAATAGCGACCCAAACACACACGAACACATGGTCTCCACCACACATAATAAGTCGCTTGACAAAAGTTTGGGTATTTGAACCGTTTGATTAGTTTGCAAATCATTGCAAAAAGGGTATTCTTTGTCTTGCCGGATAATTTCCACATCTCTGGAAATCATTAAACCCCGGGCCAGCAAAAAGGACATAATGTCTCTTTACATTAATTTTCATTTAACTGAAGAACTTAGTGGCTTAACTACCACGGCCTTTTGGATGTTAACTTTAGATGCATATATACGAGTTAAGTTCATTATTTATATCAATTTGTTTATTATCTATCGATATATCTATCTCAGTTTGCTTCATCTATCTATCTATCTATCTATCTATCTATCTATCTATCTATCTATCTATCTATCTATCTATCTATCTATCTATCTTAGTCCGTTCATATCATCCTATCGATCTATCTATCTCAGTTTTCATCTCAATTTATTCGCATTTACCTATATATTTATTTCAGTTTGTTCCATCTATATATCAGTTTGTTTACATCTATCTATTATCTATCTATCTATCTATCTATCTATCTATCTATCTATCTATCTATCTATCTATCTATCTAAAAACAAAATATTTGTATAAAACCAAGCTAATAGATTAATTAAAGTAAAGTACATACCTATGCTAATCAAATGTATGTAGGCGTACACTTACATAATCTAAACATGATTTATTTTATAAGCAACTCTTTTCTAAGTAATTGTAGCCAAACGTCAGGGTGGCTTAAGTAACTCAAAAAAAGAAAAAAAAAAGAAATCGAGACAACAGAAAACGTAAAATTAATAATAAAATAAACTCTACTAATTTTACGAGTTTAGTTATATTGTAATGCTTTTCTTTTCTGTTTATTAGACCCAGGCATATAAAAAGCAAGCAGCTACATAAGCAACTTCCATTGCATAAGTTCTAATACTTCTGCAACAATTAAGCAACTCGGACACTTGGCAAAATCCCAAGATGCCTATAAAAATCGTGTACATTATAATATTTTTGTCTAAATTTTTGGTATGACGATTAATCATTATAAATAATGATAAATCCTCATTACGTACAAGCGGACTATTATCCTAATCATTGTTTTGCTATTATAACGTTTTGACATTGTAGTTTCCGGATTTCCTCAGGTGCTTTTCGATCCGAGTAACCTTGAAGAAAATTCCAACTGAACCGTTTATTTAATCTACGGGAAGCAGATCGGTCTCACCCCACTGCCCCTGTCTAGAGATATGCCGTCTTATTTCTTATTTATTACTGTTCAAGTATTGCTCGCCCATTTCTACTGCTGTCCTGAGTATGACGATAAACTACATCCGGCATTAAGGCCACTGATCGGGAGATTGGAGATTTTGAGGAGCGTGGAACCACCTCTTAATTGTTGTTGATGGTGTCGTAGCACTTATTAGGGTACCAACTCTGGGCAAATAATGAACTCCCAAAACAAAAATAAACAGTACATTTTTATAATAAAATAGCCAACATATTTATAGCAAAAGGACAATCACTGCAACACTAAAAAAAAAAAAAAAATACACTTTTATAGTAAAATTACCAGTACTACATTTTATGATCTAGAAAATATATATTTAAAAAACATACCTCTACTTTGAAAATATAAAATTAAGAACAAAATATATGTTGTTGAATGCATAAAATTACGTCTAAAATATTTAGATTTCGGTATTAAATAACACATAGTTGATATGCGCTAAACAAAATCAAACAAGCAACATGAAGAATTCTCTTATGGAATGAATCTATATAATATCCTACAATTTCTTAAAGAAATCAAATTATATTCCAAAATATAACTTCAACAAAACTACAACATAAAACACATATCACCGCTTCTAGTGATTACGTCAACATTAACATGTATATGCACAAAAGCTGAGTATCAAATGCCATGTAGTCAATTGTGAAAGCAGAATAACATCTGTCATATTTTTATTAGGTCAAGGCTCCCCAGGTATTAAATGATCCATAAGAAGTTGAAATACCGTTAAACAAACAAATCAACTAATCAATCAACCGTTTCCACTGTGACGTCACTTGTAACACTTAACTGCACTCACCAAGATTACTTTTTTCTCTCCCGCAGCTGATGTTAAAGCATTGCAGCCATTTTCCTTCCTCTTTTCATTAACGGCTCCCATACCGTGATTATTTCTATACTGGGCCTACTAAGAAGGTCCTCATACCTTATCACAGGGGTAGGCAACCCTTGACACGTGTGCCAAACATGTTTCTGGCACGCGGAACTTATCCATTAGATTCCCTTTTTGACTTACGTTTATTCTTCACCACTTTCATGTATATCATTATTTTATGTATTTTTATTTTCTGCCCTTTACAGATTGTGCAGAATGTTATGATCATAAGCTAAGAAACGGTGTTATTTAAATGATGAACGTATTAGAGAATTTAAAGAATACTGGACTGAAAATGTTGGCATGATTAAGATAGACAATAAAACCTTATGTATTTTCTGTTCCAAAACAATCGTCTGTCGGACTTCTGTAAAAAAAAAAAAAAAAAACATTTTAAAAATGCCTATAAGAACTTAATAAACTGAGGAGCAACAAAGAGAATTAATTTCTCGTGGACTGAGCAAGACAAAAAACAGTCTGATACTTTTATGAACTTTATTTCAGGTAGGCCTAGTTCCAACTTTGTTGCTGTTAGATTTGGCGTTTCAAAAGCCACTCAATGATGGGGAGTATATTAAAGAAGCTTGGCTAGAATGTGCGCCTTTCCTTTATGAGATAAGGAAAAATTATTAAGCGCATTAAAGATTTGTCTGTGAGGAGGAAAACAGTTAAGGATACCATACTTAAGTTGGAAAGGAAACCAGCTCAACAATTGATAAAAAACAGTCCTTATGTAAGTTTTTGCCTATTTGTGTTGATGTAAGTATGAACATTACATCATCAGCTACACTAGCCATATTTTATCGATTTTGTAGGGGGTGGATGAAGTATGTAAGGAGATTGTTGCCCTTGTAAAACTACCTGAGCATACTACCGGAGCTGAAATATGTAAAACAGTTGTAAACGAATTATCTACTTCACAAAGTCACATTTCGAAAGTAGTATCTGTCACAATAGATGGTGTTTCCAGCATGTCTGACGAGAAGACATGATTTGTAAATCTGTTTGCAAAAGATGTTGGTCATCCATTGATAGGTTCTCATTGCATTATGCATGAGGCTTTGCGGGCAAAAGCATGCCTAAAGCAACTGAAATACTAATAAGCTCTACAAAAAGCAAATTTATCTTAAATTAATACGGGAAATACGAAAACATAGCTGAAACCCTGGATATAACGATAAACTACATCCGGTAGCAAGGGAGGTTTTGAAGAGCGTGAAATAGCCCTTTAACTGTTGTTATTCCCAGGTTCACCCTAACCCGGAGTGGTAGCACCTGTTAGAGTCCCAATTTTGGTCAAATAGTTAACCCCCAAATTGGGATCCATACATAATGAAAATATAAA